GAAATTTCTCATGTTAATTGAAGGTTTCAAAGAACAAGATGAAGGAAAGGGAAGGGTTGGCAGAGAAGCCAGGCAAGACAGAATTCAAGGTTATTATTGTTATGATTCTCAGAAACTGTCTGAAGTTATGGTTGCAATTGTTTGATCTTCATATCTAGATTCTGTTTTACTTCATATATTTGGTATTACATAGTATCTTAGATTTTTTGTGGGTTTCAGAGTTTGGTTATCTGTAAGTCCGTTGGTTAGCTTGCATTATTGAATAAATAAACTAAAACCTTAACTTATAGACAACTATAGAATCATTAGGTCTTGAACATATTGTTTGGGAAATGAGTCATCTGTTTTGATCAAGTTATAGTAACTACTCAGTTAATTTATTATTGGATGTGTTTTCAAGACAACTGTGTACTGTTTCATGACAATCACAGTTACTGTTTTTTATACACTGATTACAATTATGTTTTTAGATGTCAACGTCAATGACAATTCTTTCCCTTTTGTACCTTGTATTCAGATTTGTGTAATGCGCATGGTGGACTAGTAACAGTTTCATGATGTTATAACACTTGAGCTTCTCGCAGAATTACTTCAGGTCAGGAGGACATAAATCCGGAAATGCTTGTGCTTTAAACCCCAGAAGAGGGGAAGCTTCTGTAGCTCCAATTCTAGAAAACTTTATGGGCCTGCCAATTCGTCCGGTATAAATTCTAGGTTTAATCTTCAAAATTTTGAGGAATGAATATCTATTTATGATTTATGATTTTATCTTTGCGTATTTTCTTGGTCTTTTGGAGCTATTATCATGTCTCAGTCTGTTCTGTGAATAGTTATTTTAATGTGTTACAGGGGGAGAAAGACTGTCCCTGCTATATGCGAACTCTCTCCTGTATGTATGGAATGAAGTGCAGGTTTAATCACCCTGATCCTACACCTGCAGGAGAATCTGACCCCCCATCTGGAAATGGTAATGGTGGACCTGCATCATTACAAGGTGCATCGTCAGCAACAGCAGCACGATGGTATGCACCAATATCATTGAACAATGCTCCACTTTATGAGCCAATAATGATTCCGCCATCTCAAGAGTTTCCTTCTCAAAATACAGAATGGAATGGTTATCAGGTAGTCTTCGGTGTCGGTAACTGTCATCACTTTGATATACCAATTAACATTGTTTAAGGGATAAGATTTCAAGTAAGATCTTTTCATTAAACTAGTAATATGGCCTCTCTCTCGCATTAAGTTAGTAATAGAACTACTACTGTTCTCTTTTGCATTTTTGCATGCATGCTTTTCCCTTCATTTTCTTTTTTTGGTTGTGGCATGTTTAGGCTCCAGAAAGTAGCATGCCTGCACCTCCACCATATGTTATGAACCACTCAGTGACTGAAACCAACACCTATGAACAATATCCACAACAGAAGCAAGTTCAAGAATTCCCAGAGCGACCTGGGCAACCTGTTTGCTTGTACTTCTCAAGAGCTGGGGATTGCAAGCATAAATCTAATTGCAAATATCACCATCCAAAAAATCAGACTGCAGTGCCCCCCTCATGTGCACTGAGTGACAAGGGCCTGCCTTTGAGACCAGTAAGTTCACTTTTCTTTGAATTGTGCTTTTAAATTGAATATATAATTATGGAATATGATCTAATAAGTACCTGTTGTACAAATTTTTGAAGTGATGGAATAATAATTGGAAAACTCAAAATTGTGAAAGTTTTTAGCTTCCTTTTAATAAGTTAGCAATGTGGCAAAAAAAAATGTTCATTACTGATACAAATTTGACCTTGGGAAAACATTGTAGTGAAAGTTGTGGACATCTCTCTTCCTACATAAAGAATCTTGACTAACCATGAGAGCCTATGTTTGATCACATATTACGCTTCATTATTGCATGTCATTGATCACATAAATTTTGTACTAAATTTGTAATCCCAGGGTCAGAACATCTGCACACAGTACAGTGCGTATGGCATTTGCAATTCTGGGCCAGCTTGTAAATTTAACCATCCGTCATTATGATCTTCCCTTCTGTGACTCGATGACTACAAATGGGGCAGGAACATCCGAGAGTATGAATAGAACTGATGCTACAATCAGCCGCAGGCTGTGTAAATAAGTTTGCATGAAACGGCTTTTAGAGCACGTATCTCTTTTTGTTATGTAGTAACTTTTTCTCCCAGCTGCCACAGGCCCTTCAGTTTCGGATGTGAGAACTTAATGGAAACAGGGCATGTCAATAATTTCGTATTTATGTCACGTTACCCGAAAATCCACGTTTAATTCGGAATTTCCTCTTAATTTTATGGTTACGGTCTCTTCACGGGTATCTTCAATTGGCCACTTCTGTAATGGATAACTTTTTAGTCGCGAAATGTTTGATATTTACCTCCAAACCAAACTAAACAAAATAAATGACTGCCAACAGAGAGAGAAACTCTCATGCAATAGGGATGGTACTTTTTGCTATTTTCGGGACAATAACCTGTGGAATAACTTTTTCACGTATCATTATGTTATTGGTCAGGGTTAGCAAAAGTGGTCTCCATTACAAATTTTTTAGCAAACATGGGAGAGGAGAGGTTTTCTTTCAATTAGTGAGTAATGAGGGGTGGTAATTTCCAATACTACTCAATACATGACTCGAAACCCACACAAAAAGTTAGCATGTCAACTTGCACGATTAAATTTTCAGAGCATTTTTGGGTCATACCATCATGACTTGTTCAATAAACGGTTGGGTTTCAGGTCAACCCACCATGACTCGTTTAATAAACGGTTGAGTTTCAAGTTAACCTGCCAACTCAATAAAATACCTATGTAAGCGGTTTATTAAACGGGTTGTGTCAACTACACAACCCATTTCTTTGTTTCTTCATCATTTTCATCATTTTCTAATTTATTTGATTTCTCTTCCTTAATCTTCATACATATATATAGAGGCAAAGTGCAGTTACTTGATTAAATTATCAAAATTTAGGTTTTTTCTTGTGAAATTGAGATGCGGGTCTTTGTTTTTTTATTTATTCTTTCTTTTTATTTGTTTTTACTTATTACCCAATACTCAATTATGCAAGTGATTCTTGTATGGGTCATATATATATATATATATATATACACAGAGAGCTTCCATTGAGGGATCCCTCAAATAAGCTTATTTGAGGGATCCCTCAATGGAAGCTCTCTGTGTATATATATATATATATATATATATACACAGAGAGCTTCCATTGAGGGATCCCTCAAATAAGCTTATTTGAGGGATCCCTCAATGGAAGCTCTCTGTGTATATATATATATATATATATATATACACAGAGAGCTTCCATTGAGGGATCCCTCAAATAAGCTTATTTGAGGGATCCCTCAATGGAAGCTCTCTGTGTATATATATATATATATATATATATACACAGAGAGCTTCCATTGAGGGATCCCTCAAATAAGCTTATTTGAGGGATCCCTCAATGGAAGCTCTCTGTGTATATATATATATATATATATATATATATATATATATATATACACAGAGAGCTTCCATTGAGGGATCCCTCAAATAAGCTTATTTGAGGGATCCCTCAATGGAAGCTCTCTGTGTATATATATATATATATATATATATATATACACAGAGAGCTTCCATTGAGGGATCCCTCAAATAAGCTTATTTGAGGGATCCCTCAATGGAAGCTCTCTGTGTATATATATATATATATATATATATATATACACAGAGAGCTTCCATTGAGGGATCCCTCAAATAAGCTTATTTGAGGGATCCCTCAATGGAAGCTCTCTGTGTATATATATATATATATATATAAAAATTACCCAATACCCAATTATGCAAGTGATTTTGAAAAAAGGAAAAAGCATAAGATTTTATTTATTTATTATTTTTTTTTTTTTGGGTCTACCTTTTAGCTTGCTAGTTACTAGTTGCTCTACTTATTGACCAAAGAAAAAAGTTACTAGTTGCTACCACACATGGGAGAACATAAACTGAAGGCATGTTATCAATTCAAGTTAATTTATTGCAAGATTTTAGAAAAGAAAAAATTATTTCTTTTGGTCAAATTATGATAAGAAATCAAATATAGCAATTATTATAATTTGTTAAATATGTTATTAACTAGGTAACTTGTTTAATATGACCTGAATTTGATACAATAAGTTTATTAAATGAATCGAGTTTGAATTGAGTATTCTTGACATATTTATTATCCCGATATAACACAATTCAACACTACACGACCCATTACCAGCCTCAGGATTGAGACTTGAAGACGTGGATGATGATCTCACTCAAAAGACGTAGTTGTATTGACCACATAACCTTTCTGTTATGTATCGAACTTGGAGACGTTTTATGTATAGGTTATCGTCTAGTACATAAGTGAACATTATTCTCACCAATTAGAAACACAGCCATATCACAAAACCGCCAAGTATGATGTGGCATCTGAGAAAAAAATATTAAATACTACTTTTGCTACGAATGAAGAGAGATCGAGTTGATTCATAGAGAATAGAGTGATACTGAAATAAGTTTGTAAAATTACAACAACAAAAATAAAAGTTTTTGACCATGTCAGATTTATGAAGCCAAGCTACCTCCCCAAAAAACACAGGCAAAAAATTATCCGTGATTCCATAGTTTGCCTGTTTTAAATTTTCACAATTTAAGCACGTGCTACTAATTTTGTCAAATATATTTTGTTTGGCAAATTTCCGTCCAAAATATCCTTTTATATAAGTGACACGTACTTATTCCATCACAAAATTAAACGAAAATTTGGATGCATTCTTGAATTGTAAGGGATGTCAAATTACATGAGTCAATTTGCTAGAATTGAAATCACACTGAAAACTACGAGGAAGGGAATTACCGTAGTTAGGGAGAACGGGTGCTTAATGATGAAAAACAAAACAAAATCAAGAACAGTACGAGGATAAACGATGAAAACCAAACAAGGGTATTACTCATTATCATGGGAGAGTCTCCACTTTTCCAAAAGCAGCTTTGAAACCCAAACAAAAGAAAACAAAAAAGCAGACGACTTTGACTTGACAAATCAAAACAGAACACTGGCTCAAACTCAGTGCCCTTGTTATGATCAGGTGAGTGAGGATGTGCAGGGTGCAAGCAAGCAACCATTGTTGCTTAGTCAACAGCAAACCCAGCAATCCAGCTTCCTTCATCCATCACTAATAATAATAATTTAATTAATTCTCCGCCCCCAGGAAAAAACAAAAAAAAAAACAAAAACACGATCACCAGTGATGTTGCCAGCTGCAGCTGTGCGTGTCCTGCTCCCAGTGTCAGCGTCTGTGATTTACGTAATTTATAGGTATTTGAGATCAGGACGGCAAATAGAGAGCTCTCCAAATACCAGTAACAATGACGTCGTTCCACCCCCAAATTCCGGTAACAGCGACGTCGTTCCCTATCCTGAACTGTCTGATCGCGATCGTACCATCCTTGAAGAGATTCTGAACAACGACGTCCTCCTCGATAAGATTCGGGCAATCGAGCCCGCCTTCCTTGATGGGCTTCGGAAAATCAAGCCCGCCGTCCTCCGTGAGATGGTGTTCGACTCTGCTGAATTGGATCCTGTTATCGTTGATACGATTTGTAAATTGTCTTTGAAAGGAGGAAAGGAGGAAGGCGAAGAAAACGAAAATGGAATTGTAAACGAGACGAAGAGCGAAGAGAGGGATGAGGAAAGAAGCAGAAGCCGTCATTTCTCAGTGAGGTCTGGAGCTCGAGACTGTTGGTGTTATCTCGAGACTGGGACTTGTAAGTTTGGGCCCAATTGCAGGTTTAATCACCCTTGCATAACAACGAAAAACAATCAGGTATATCTCTCTTCTTTCGCCTTCGGCATTTGCATATGTATAATGTTATGTTTATGGTTGAAAGATTGAGACTTTTTATGTTTGGCCCGGCCTTCGTTTATCATTATTTGAGCTGAGAATTGCTGGCAGCAAAGCTATTTCTGTGATTCTATAGGTTTATTGGTTTAGTCATTAGTGTATTTGTATGTATTCATCGGTGAGTATATTATGCTGTGATGATGATGATTTTTTACCGTGGAATTTAACTAGTATCACTTTCATATGCTTATTTTCTTCTACAAAAATCTTTGTGGTGAAATTTGTTGTGCCCCCGGAGAAATGGGGACCTTGCGTCTGCCTTAGTGTTTGAGACATTAATGTTTCCCGGTTGTATGATTGCTGTTCTTGGTGCTCCTCTCTTTATGTTTGTTATTATCGTTATGATTCTCAGAAACTTTCTATCTTAAGTTATGGTTTTTACTGCAATTGTTTGATCTTCATGTCTAGATTTTGTTTTATTTCATATATTTGGTATTAAGGTGTATCTCACTTTTTTGTGTTTTGATGATGAGGTTTCTGAGTTGGTTATCTGGTTAGCATGCATAATTGAATAAATAAGCTAAAACGTTTTAACTTTTGGACAACTTTAGAATCATTAGGTCTTGAACATATTTGTTCATATTGCTTGGGAAGGTAAGTCTGCTGTTTTGGTCAGCTTATAGTAACTAGTTAGTTATTTTATTATTGGATGTGTCTTCACGACAATTGTATAGTGTTTCATGACAATCACTTATTGCTCTTTTATACAGTTATTACAATTATGTTTTTAGATGTCAATGTCAATGACAATTCTTTCCCTTTGTACCTTTTTATTCGAATATGTGCAAAGCGAATGGTGGACTAGTAACAGTTTCATGATGTCATAACACTTGAGCTTGTCGCAGAATTCCTTCAGGTCAGGAGGACGACGTCCAAATCTCTACACTACCCCAAATCCCGGTAATGACAACGTCTTTCCCCCAAATCCCGGTGACCCTGACCACGAAAATGGAAATGGAAACAAGACACAGAGCGAAGAGAGGGATAAGGAAAGAAGCAGAATTCATCATTACCCGGTGAGGTTTGAAGCTGGAGACTGTTGGTCTTATCTAAAGACTGGGACTTGTAATTTTGGGCCCAGTTGCAAGTTCAATCATCCTTGTAGAAGGAAAAACAGGAAAAACAATCAGGTATATCTCTCTTCTTTCACCTTCAGCATTTGCATATGTGTGTTTATGGTTGAATGATTGAGACTTTTTATGTTTGCCCCGGCCCTCGGTTGTCATTAATTGAGCTGAGAATTGCTGGCAGCAAAGCCATGTATGTGATATAGGTTTGTTGGTTTAGTCATTAGGGTATATGTATGTGTGCATGTGTTATAATGTATTCATCGGTGAGTATATTATGCTGTGCTGATGATTTTTGTCAGTGGAATTTACTCGAAATGAAAGGACGCACCAGTTTCGTATTTGCTAAAGATCATCTTGCAATAGAAGATATTTTTGCATTGATTCAAAGCTTGTTAACTTTTTGTTGTAGCTGAAAGCCTGAAACTGGCTTTTTTTCTTTTACATACATCTTTTTGGTGAAATTTGTTGTGCCGGAGACACGGGGACTTTGGGTTTGCCTTAGTGTTTGAGACATTAATGTTTCTGGCCTTGTATGAATGCAGGAAATATTTATACTGTTGGTGCTTACTTTCTGTTTGTTGGTGTTTGAAATTTATCATTTTGATTGAAGGTTTCTAAGGCCAGACAGAATGCAAGGTTATTATTGTTATGATTCTCAGAACTTTCTATCTGAAGTTATGGTTTTTACCTGCAATTGCTTGGTCTTTATGTCTAGATTTTGTTTTCCTTCATATATTTTTATCAAATAGTATCTCAGTTTTTCATGTTTTGATGATGGGGTTTCAGAGTTTGGTTATCTGAAAGTTTGTAGGTTAGCATGTGTAATTGAATAAATAAGCTAAAACCTTTTATATTTTAGACAACTATAGAATCATTAGGTCTTGAACATATTTCTTCATATTGTTTGGGAAGGTTTGTCATCTGCTTTGATCAACTTATAGTAACTAGAGTTAAATTATTATAGGATGTGTTTTCGCGACACGGTATACTGTTTCATGACAATCAGTTATAACTTTTTTAGTGATTACGACTTTTTTTAGATATCGATGACAATTCTTTCCCTTTGTACCTTATATTCAAATCTGTGCAATATGCATGATGGACTAGTAACAGTTTCATAATGTTATAACACTTGAGCTTGTCACAGAATTACTTCAGATCAGGAGGATTTAAACCCGGAAATGCTTTTTCTTTCAACCCCAGAAGAGGGGAACCTTCTGTGGCTCCAGTTCAAAAACTTAACTTTATGGACCTGCCAATTCGTCCGGTATAAATATCTATTAACGAAGTTTAAGATCTATTATTTTACTTTTTGCTTAATTTCTTGGTCTTTTGGAGCTATTATCATGTCTCAGTCTATTCCCTGAATATTTATTTTTACATGTTACAGGGGGAGAAAGAATGTCCTTACTATATGAAAAATGGCTCCTGCAAGTCTGCAACTAACTGCACGTTTAATCACCCTGATCCTACCACTATAGGAGAATCTGGTCCCCCATGCGGATACATTGATGGCGGACCTGCACCAGTACAAGGTGCATCGTCATCAACAGCATGGGATTCCCTTTGTGTGCCAATGATTCCGCCATCTCAAGGGATTCCTTCCCAAAATACAGAATGGAATGGTTCTCAGGTACTTTTATTCATCACTCCCACATTATAGTGTTGGGTGTTATCTCTCTCTCTCTCTCTCTCTCTCTCTCTCTCTCTCTCTCTCTCTCTCCTTTTCTCCCTCTCTCTTTTTAATGTGATAGTGGCCAGTTGTATTCATCTGTTTATTTGTTGATATATCTGTCCATTCAAACCTTTTAATGGGCATCCCTATTAGTTTGTGGGTATTATTACTTCTTGAGTCGTTAAGCTATGGTGAGTCCTGATGAGGAAAGTATGAAACTTTTCCTGATTATGTTACGAATCACGTCCTGTGATGCTGTTCAATTTACACCAAACAATTTTTTCTTGTGCATGGATATGTAGAATATATAGAACTGCTACATTTTCGCTTGCATGCTTTCCCCTTCAAATTTGTTTTGGTTGTGGCATGTTTAGGATCCAGAATATCTACCAGAGAGAAGCATACCTGCACCTCCACCATATGTTATGAACAAGGCTGTGACTGAAACCAACATCTATGAACCAAATCCACAGCAGAAGCAAGTGGAAGAATTCCCAGAACGACCTGGGCAGCCTATTTGCAATTACTTCTTAAGAAAAGGGGATTGCAAGCATAGATCTAATTGCAAATATCACCATCCAAAAAACCAGACCGCGGTGTCCCCTTCATGTGCACTGAGTGGCAAGGGCCTGCCTTTGAGACCAGTGAGTTCGCTCTTCTTTGGAGTGTGCTTTTTAAAGTAATTACATAATTATGGAATATGATCTATCAAGTACCTGTTGCACAATTTTTAAGTGATGGAATAATTGGAAATTTCAAAATTTTGCAAGTTTTTAGCTTCCTTAGGATAAATTAGCATGTGCCACGAAAATATTCATTACTAATACAAATTTGATATTGGGAAATACTTGTGTTGAAATTTGTGGACACATCTCTTTCTACGTAAAGAATCTTGATCGCACAAAATTTTGTACTAAATTTTGTTTCAAATCCAGGGTGAGAACATTTGCACACAATACAGTAGCTATGGCATTTGCAATTCTGGGCCAGCTTGTAAATTTGACCATCCGTCATTATCAACTTTCCTTCTGTGACTCGGCGACTACAAATGGGGCAGGAACATCTGGGAGTAGAAGTGAACTGATGCTACAATTCAGCCGCAGCCTGTGTAATAAGTTTTGCCTGAAATAGCTGCTGGAGCACAGGATTCGCATCACCAAGGACGTGTAATCTCTTTTTGTTAGTCTTATAAATGTATCAAACTTTTTCTCCCAGCTGCCACCTTTCACTTCTGTTATGGATGACTTTGATTACAATAGAAATGTGTACTATTGACCTCCAAACCAAACGACTGCTAACACACATTCCAAAATAGAAAATCCGACAAATTACATGGAAAAAAGGAGTTTTTCTATTTGAATTCCGCACTTCTCTTTGTTTCCTCTGTATTCTAAGTTCACTTCAACTTCTAATTTTAATTTTCACAATTTCTAAGAAAACTTCGCTATCTTCTCAAATTATCGCTAAATACATACCTAAAAAAAAAAAAAAAAAAAACTTGTCAACCTCACACCTCACACTCCGTTATCTTGCCCATCACCACTCTAAGTTCATATCAACCTCACATTACTTAAAGAGATAAAAATACTATTATCAAATGTAGTAGCATTATTATTTTTTTATTATTTTTAAAATTTAAAAAAAAAATTGAGAATGAACTAGGAGGTTTTGATAAAGAAGATGAAAGTGTAGTAGATTTCTTAGATTGAAATAGAATAGTAATATGGTAATATAGTGTAGAGGAGTTTGTGTTTTTCTAAAACTTAATATAAAGAGTGGTGAGTAGATGTACTAGAGATTTCATTTTTTCTTTTTTATAGCCTACTCTAAGGGGAGGGGGGCCTCAAGCACCAATGTGCACACATGGGGTTTCGATCAGGAGTGTCTTGGGGGAAAAGGGAAAGTCACCACTACTGTGGTAGAATTCATTGGCATATATATGTACTAGAGTTAAGTATTAAGTACGATAACATTTTTTTTCTTTTACACAATAATAAAATTTAAGAGCCTTTTTTTTTTTTTTTGGGTGAAAAATTTAAGAGCTTAATAATTTAAATATTTAGGTGAAACAAAAAAATTATCATGTTTAAATAGAAAAACTCGAAAAAAAATTGAAAAGGAAAAAGCAGATGACTTTGACTTCACGAATCAGTACAGAATACTGGCTCAAACTCAATGCCCTGGTGATCAGATGAGCAGGATGTGCAGAGTGCAAGGCAAGCAAGCAACCATAGTGGTAGTCGGTGGTTGCTAAGTTGACAGCAAACCCAGCAACCCAGCTTCCTTAATCCATCACTAATATTTAAGTAATTCTGAAAAACACGATCAGCAGTGATGTTGCCAGCTGCAGCTGTAGCTGTACGTCTCCTACTACCAGTGTCAGTGTCAGTTTACGTACTTTATAAGTATTGGAGATCTGGACGGCAAACAGAGAGCTGGGTTCCCCCAAGTCGCGGTAACAACGACGATGTTCCCCAAAACTCCGGTGACAACGGCGTCGTTCCCCCAAATTCCGTCGTTCGCCCGAAGTCCGGTGAGAACGACGTCGTTCCCTCTGATGGCGATCTTGCCATCGTAGAAGAGATTCTGAAAAATGACCATGTCTTCCTTAATAAGATTCGGACACTTGACCCCGCCGTCCTTGATAAGCTTCTGAAAATCGACCCCGTCGCCCTTGATGCGCTTCTGAGAATCGACCCCGCCGTTCTCCGCGACTCTGCTGAATTGAATCCTGCCATCATTGATGCGATTTGTGAACTGTCTGAGAAAGAGGAAGGTGACGAGGAGGCCGACTGGAGTTGTAGTCGGCCAGTAACTGAGAGCTCTCTAGTCATCGGGGTTCCCTCAAATTCCGGTAACAACGACGTCGTTCCCCCAAATTCCGGTAACAACGACGTCGTTCCCTGTCCTGAACTGTCTGATCGCGATCTTGCCATCCTTGAAGAGATTCTGAAAGATGACCCTGTCCTCCTTTCTGAGATTCGGACACACGACCCCGCCGTTATTAATGAGCTTCGGAAATTCGATCCCGCCGTCCTCCGTGAGATGGTGTTGGACTCTGCTGAGGTGGATCCTACCATCATTGATGCGATTCGTAAATTGTGTTTGAAACGAAAGGAGGAAGATGAACAAGAGGCTAAGGGGAGTTGTAGTGGCCGAGAAACTGAAAGCGAAAACGAAAATGGAAACGAGACACAGAGCCAAGAGAGAGATGAGGAAATAAGCAGAAGCCGTCATTACCCATTGAGGCCTGAAGCTCCAGACTGTTCGTATTATCTAAAGACTGGGACTTGTAAGTTTAGGTCCAATTGCAAGTTTAATCACCCTCACACAACAACAAAAAACAATCAGGTATCTGTCTTCTTTCGCCTTCAGCATTTGCAAATGTATGATATAATGTATGTTTATGGTTGAAAGGTTGAGACTTTTTATGTTTGCCTGGTCTCGGCCTCATTTCAGCTGACAGTTGCTGGCAGCAGCAAAGCCGTGTCTGTGTTTCTATAGGTTTATTGGTTTAGTCGCTAGTGTATGTATAATGTTGTATACGTTCATGTGTTGTTATAGTGTGAAGACTGTATTTATGGGTTAGTATATTATGCTGTGATCATAATTTTTGTCCGCGGAATTGATTTGAAATGAAGGGACGCACCACTTTCATATTTGCTGAAAAATGATATAGCCATAGAAGATATTTTACTTTTGCTTGTAGCCGAAAGCCTGGAACTGGCTTTTTCTTTTGCATACATCTATGTGGTGATAATTTTTGTGCCAGAGAAATGGGGACATTGGGTCCGCCTTAGTGTTTGAGACATTAATGTTATACCACTTGAGCTTGTTGCAGGATTACTTCTGGTCTGGAGGACGTAAAGACGGAAGAGATGGTAGTTTCAACCCCAGAAGCAGGGAACCTTCTGCAGCTCCATTTGTAGAAAACTTTATGGGCCTGCCAATTCGTCCGGTATAAATTTTAGGTTTGATCTGCAAAATTTTGAGGAATGAATATATATTCATGATCTTTAAGATTTATGATTTTATCTTTGCATATATTCTTGGTCTTTTGGAGCTATTATCATGTCTCAGTCTCTTCTTTGAATATTTATTTTAACGTGTTACAGGGGGAGAGAGACTGTCCCTACTATATGCGAAATCTCTCCTGCGGGTATGGTTTAAGCTGTAGGTTTAATCACCCTGATCCTACACCTGCAGGAGAATCTGACCCCCCATCTGGATATGGTAATGGTGGACCTGCATCATTGCAAGGTGCATCATCATCAACAGCAGCACGATGGTCTGCACCAAGATCATTGAACAATGCTCCACTTATAATTCCACCATCTCAAGGGATTCCTTCCAGAAATACAGAACACAATGGTTATCAGGTACTTTTATTCATCACTCCCGTATTATAGTCATCAGTATCAGTAACTGTCATCACTTTGATATACAATTTAACATTTTTTAAGGGATAAGATTTCAAGTAAGAAACTTTTTTTCCATGTTACTTATAAAAAAAAAACCATTTTTAGTATGGCCTCTCTATCTTTCTCTCTTCCATGTTGTGGCACGTTTAGGCTACAGAAACAAGTATGCCTGCACCTCCACCATATGTTATGAACCACTCAGTGACTGAAACCAACGCTTATGAACAATATCCACAGCAACAGCAAGTTGAAGAGCTCCCACTACGACCTGGGCAACCTGTTTGCATTTACTTCTCAGCAACAGGGGATTGTAAGTTTAAATCTAATTGCAAATATCACCATCCGAAAAATCAGACTGCAATGTCCCCCTCATGTGCACTGAATGACAAGGGCCTGCCTTTGAGACCAGTAAGTTCACTTTTCTTTGAATTGTGCTTTTCAAAAGTGAATAAATATTATGGAATATGATCTAACAAGTAGCTGTTGTACAATTTTTTCAAGTGATGGAATAATTGGAAAATTCAAAATTTTGCAAGTTGTTAGCTTCCTTTGAATAAATTAGCAGTGTGCCATAAAGATGTTCATTACTAATACAAAATTGTAGTCAAAGTTGTGGACATCTCTCTTTCAACATAAAGATTCTTGACTAACCATGAAAGCCTTTTTTTTAATCACATATTACACTTCATTATTGCCTGTCATTGATCACACAAATTTTGTGTTAAATTTGTAATCCCAGGGTCAGAATATCTGCACACAATACAGTACCTATGGCATTTGCCATTCTGGGCCAGCTTGTCAATTTGACCATCCGTCATTATGAACTTCCCTTCTGTGACTCGACGACTACAAATGGGGCACGAAGATCTGGGAGTAGAAGTAGAACTGATGCTACAATCAGCCGCATCCTGTGTAATAAGTTTTGCATGAAATGGCTGTTATAGCACAGAATTCGCATCACCAAGGACATGTGATCTCTATTTCTTATTTAGTCTTAGAAATGTACTGTACTTTTTCTCCCAGCTGCCACAGGCCTTTCAGTTTCAGGTGTGAGAACTTAATGGAAACAGGACATGTAAATAATTTCGTAGTTATGTCATTTTACCAGAAAATCCAAGTTTAATTCGGAATGCCCTCAGAAATTTATGGCTACAGTCTCTTACGAGTATCTTCAGTAGGCCACTTCTGTAATGGACTGCCAATAAGGGAGAGAAGGGGGGTTTTCTTTTAACCAGTAGGAGATGGGGATTCAATCTGTTCCGCCTGAGATGAATTAGCTTCAAGGCTTGGTAGGAGCTGATGAGATTCATACAAGGTCCTGCTGCAACCATATATATTTCTAGTGCAATTTCCACAGAACTAAGCAGTGAACTCCAGGTACAATAGTAATATATTTTACTCTTATTAGTAATAGAGTGATATTGTTGTGCCCAAGTATTAAACTGGGAACCACAAATTTCTGTATGTATTATTACAAATTTTTGTGTTTACCAGTCCTCTTTTTCATTCTATATAACAAAATATATATGCAAAACCTTTTGAAACATATATATAGAAGACAAAAGAAGACAAAATCAAGCACAAGTGAAAAGGAAAGGAAGGAACAAAAAAAAAACTGTCTATATATGAGAATTTGCTGTTCCACATCTTTCCCAGGCACTGGAAAGTGTCTTTGCTTGTAGCTCCTCCCAGTCCCACCTAATATATTGCATTATCATCGCCATGCCCAAAAAGCAGTTGATTTATGTCAACCACAGCAAAACCATCTCTTCTGCAATATTCAATCAGAAAAACAACAGTGATCTGAGAAATAGTGAAAAAATGGCATTGACAGACACAACCCAAAAGTCACATTCCGTGAGCACCTCTAGTATTTGTTTTACCTTTGAGGGAGGATATTTGGGATAATGCTCATTGACAGTGTTGTATCCAGCACCATTTCTTCGTAGGCTGCCGTCAGTTTTTCGTGGGGTGACCATCTTCACTTGAGCTGCACTGGTCTTCTTTTCATCTCTGGCCTTGTTGAATATAACAGTAAATCCTTCAGCTGAAGCTGGGTTATTTACATCCCACTCCCCAAATTTAGGTAATGGCCGACCTTTATCCTGCTG